CAAGTTTCAATCTCACTCCCACTGGAAACTCATGAATTTCCGTGAATTCTACTTGAAACTTGAATTTGACACTCTCATGAGATTTACTATAATATCTTCCATGAAATTTCAAAAAATTTCTAACAGTGTGGTGAACTTGAGATCGAGATCTAACAACGGATTCTGTTCTGTTCATTGTGGTTATATCCTCTAACTATTGTAGAGGCAAGCACCATATTTAATAATGAAGTGGAATCCATCTGTTCCGCCTTGCATCATGAATATATTACACTAGATCTGTGCGCGCGCTTTCGCGCGCGCTTCTCTTTTTGTTGTGGAAATGAAGAAATCGAATTTATTAAACTTCATATACTCATAGATGTTTTATAAGTATTGATAATTACTTACAGAGAATTAAGAAAATGAAGAGTGAATCATCAATGAATAATTTTTTATTTTCGATTAATTCTTTTTTTTTACTTTTTAAAATAATCTGATTAAAATCTGTAATTGTTGAACAATGAGGAGCGGGTTATTAATTGATTTCCTAGAAAACTGAAAAAATGTCTTGAATTCTTCGGAAAATTTCACAGTTTTCCAGATAACCGTAGATCTTCAAAGATTTTTCCCGAATTATTTAGGAAACCGAAGAATTTTCATGAATTTTGTAGAGTTTAGAATTTATGTACGAAAATATGAGATGCAAGAATTGATCATTTTTGCGTATGATAAATAGGAAAAAATTCAAATTTGGGAAGTGAAGAATAATTTGTGAATTGAAAAAATTTAGAAATACTGTTTTTTTTCTCATGATCAACAATTAGACAATTCAGATATGTTTTGATATGAGGATAAACTTCACCCATGAAAAATATGAAAAATATGACGCAGAAAAAATTTTTGACATTTGAAGAATTTGAAAATACCGGGGATTTTTTTCAGCGACGACTTCACGCGACTCATTGACCAATCAGAATTGAGGATTAGCGGTCAGGCAGTTTCGAGATATTTCAATATAAAACAACTTCACGTTTCTTTCATCTTTAGTATAATGAGTAAAAAATAATGAATAAATAACGGGCGATAGATATTTTATTTCATTAACCAAAGAATCCATGCGAAACATCAGTTAACTAATAAATTAATTATTCATCAATTCATTTTTCATCATTTAGCGAAGTTGAATAATACATCTCTAATAATTCCCATTAAATAAAACATCCCGCAATAAAAACCATTCATGCAAACCTCCAATTGACTAAATCTCCTTCCAATCGCTCATTTTATAGCAGCGTTTAAATATTCCTCAATGCACATAATTCCATATTTATCCACGAAATAAATGCACCGTAAAATGATTCGGTAGAACATTTACAAACCGGAATGAATTATCATAAAAAAATAAAACTCAGAATTCCATAGTTCCAGGGGGTATAATTCCTATGAGCATTCTGATGGCACCTGCTAATATTCAACAATCTACACCGTCTAATTCACACGTGGTATTTATTTATGTGTCTGGCGTAATTATCCACTATCCCCTGTATATGTATGTGTTCCAGTGCCGAGCCCAACCAAATACGGAGGTCCGTTCCCTCCACCGCCAGCCCAGTGAATTCCCCCGGGGGCCTATTTACGTATGTGCGTCAGTTCAATGTACATTTGCATTATGTACATGTGTACACCCTCTTGTGCTTTAGAATTTCACCATTCAAAGTAGCCAGAATGGCGTACGCCCAGTGTAGGCCAGGTATATAGTAACTGTTGAGAGACTTGATTCAGACGTCCTTTGTGAGGTATTCAAAATCCACAAGATACAATCTACATTCTGATAACCCAGAGTAACTTACCACTCTGCGCCCCCGTTATACGTCTTGCTAATGCTCGATATACGGAGCGTAACATGGAAATGCTGGTGCCCAAATGGCTCGTGAAACCCGGTGGAAGAAATAAGCCTTATTTGGGGATTTCATCGAGTTAACATTTTTGACAGTAGGGGAAATGGTGCACGTACCACCCACCTAAGGTAATAAGTCGTTTTTTCCGGCCTCGCTCTCGGCAAGGAGCCATAAACGGTTAGAATGGGTTCTTCGAGGTGTTTACTCGAAGATGTGAAGAGGACAGATTTTTTATTAACATTAATAGTAGATTACACACCTTGGCCAGTAAAGTAAGGAATGTCTCAGATCACATGTAATTGTCGGCCGAGGCGAAGCCGAGGTCAACAAACATGTGATCTGAGGCTTTCTTATTTACTGGCCAAGGTGTGTATACTATTTTTCTGCTCGACGTAGCCGGAAAGTGGCAACTTCGTTTAGCGCAGCGGCCAGGAAGTTGACGCTTTCCGGCCGGAGGGCAGAAAACATATTTAATTATGTAATTCAATTGCCATCGGCCAGTGAGCCATGGAATCGAACTTTGAGGGGAATACCGCTCGGCATGCGTCTAATACCGCCCACCTTGTTTTGATGACTTCTTTGAGCAATGCAGACCAACTGTGATAATTTTTCTTATTTTCATCCTTCGTTTACATTCTTGTGCTCCATTTTAAAAAAGATTTCACATAAATAATAATAAATTATCCTGAATTTACCCGATGTTCCAGTGGCCACCGACTACCACAAACAATCAAGTCACTTGACCGCCCTCTAGCTGCAGAGTCTAGCAGCCCTGTAGAAACCCTGGGCGGCATTACTGACAAACTCTGGGCGGAATTGCTCACAAACACGGAAACTGATAAAATAGCCAATAATAACTGATGAAGATATTTTTCTGCTATCGAAAAGGTCGGAATGGATTTGGAAATGTATAATCATATATTTCGCACTCCATTCAATTATGGGCCAACTGAAAATTTGAAAAATCTTAAATTCTGGGGTCGAAATATTTTAAGAATTCGGTAGAAAATGACTTTGAATTTTTTTTTAAGGTTTCCACGGGAGAAAATTGCAAATTTCTTGTTGAAATTACTTGTTGTTATCAAATATTTCCATAATAAAAAAGAAACTTTTTTTTTTTTCCGCGAATCCTGAGAAGCACTCGTGGGTGTCATTACCCGCTGAAAAATGTCTCTCAGTGAGGCGATAATTCGATTTATAAAATGTGTCTGATGATTTATCAATAATATCATTTTTAATTTGAATGAAAACTTTATTTTGTACTATTTCAATAAACTTATTTATTTGATTCAAATAAATAATTTTTCTGTATGCAGTCTTTTACATAAGTACTTCATTCTGATGAATATCCCATTAACTGAATAACCCAGATGGAAAATTAATGAAAACTAAAGGAGTTTCCTCTTTTTAATTCCAAGACCTAATCGATTCGCTCGAGATAAACTTTCCACTTCGTATTCATGGATGTATTTAGTTCAAATGAATATATGATTCCGTTAAGCTTCTATGCAAACCCACAAAAGGGATGAGGACCAATTACATGCGTAGATTGAATTCACATGAAACTTTAATTGGAACAAATGAAACCTTTCATCTCTATCATGTGAATTATTTCGCTGATTGGAGAATTACCGGAAAATTGTGAGGGAGCCAGTTCAATAATTGAGGTATCAATTATGTACTCTCAGGCCACACAAAACGATTTGTATTTGGCGATTGAAATATGCACTTGTAAAATTACCAATTATCAAGTAAAAAATCTCGTGCTGAACATTTAAAAAATGGCCTAACATGAAAAAATTTTGTCGTAAAATGGATTTAGCTGCTTCAAAAAATTACTTGCTACCTACATATTTAATTCGTTAGCCCATTTATCAAAGATAAAAAATAAATTCTCGAATAGTGTACGAGGTAATTAACGCGATAGTCGTATTAATTTTATGTTGACTTTTGCCTGGGGTTGAAAGGTCCTTGGTACCACGAGCAAATGATTTATATAGTAGAAAATTGATTGCTTATAAATTATTTACAGAAAAGACTTTTAATTTTTTAAAATTGCAATTTTGTAATTACTCCATTAATCTTTCCTCAAAAGTAAACTTTCTAATTTTGTTTTCAGATTTTTTTAATGTTCTCTAATGGTTCAATATCGGCATTCAAATTCCGACCTGTAAAGTTTAAATAATAAAATCATTGTAAAATTTCCGGAAACTTACGGTCAAATGGGGCTGAAATGCAAGCTTTGATGTTCGGCTACAAAAATAGAAAAGCATTCCTCTGCAGAAAAAATCGGGAAGGGCAATACGGACCCCTAGGGCAAAACGGACCAATAACAGAAAATTGGTATTTTTTTTCTCTCTTTCAAATCAGGAACACTGAATGTGTTGAATTAAAAGTGAGTTTCTTGGATCATAGCCGTCACAGGGGTTTTATGAACAAGAAGTGTCGTTGAACCGCAATTTGATCAGATTTGCTAATCACCTCAAACCACAAATGACTTTGAATTTTTGTTTTTGCTTCCATGCGGAAGCCAAAACAAAAATTATCAATTTTCTGTCAGTGGTCCGTTTTAGCCTAGGGGTCCATTTTGCCTTACCCTCTTCTAGCCAAAGCACTTGAATATCTTCAACAATTATAGTATCTTGTTACCCTAAAATAGTAAAAACATTCCCAATGAATCTTTTATCTCCCAATGCAGTAGTAAAACTTTCCCCCTGTCCAATCACCTTCGTCTGTTGTTAATTTGAAAAATCGTTGAGTGGACCTATTAAAATTTATCAACCACAAAATATGAAAGCAATGGAAAAACTGGTTTTCTGGAATTTGAACACCATTACGCCCACACATAAAAAGATGAGAAGATGAGCCCATACTCACGCACGAACGTTCCATCTTTTCACTTCTTATTACCTCCTGCCTCGACTTCTCGACGTGTCCCATCCTCAAATAAAGTCCTCTCAGTCTCAAGTATATGTGTCCAAGAAATTCTTTGAGTTACCACTTCATGAGAATTCCTGAAACCCATAAAAAAAAAACAATGAAAGCCTCGAGTATATCGAAATTGCATCTTTACGGTTGGTTGAAAAATGTCATGAATAATTTGAGTTCTTTCTTCATTCCTAGCTTTCTGGATTGGTAGTCGGCGGAATAGGAGTATGGACAGTTATCGCGAAGCACAGTTATATCTCGCTGATGGCTACGTCAACGTATCCAATACTTGCGTATGCTCTCATTGTTGCTGGTGCACTCGCTGTGATTGGTAGCTGGCTTGGGTGTGGAGGTGTTTCCTCGGAAAATCGTTGTGTACTACTTGTGGTAAGTGGAAAAGCAATTATTTCGAATGCGTTGGAGGAAAAATACTCAATCTGATGAATATTCTCCATCCAATTTCGCTTGTTTTCAGAAAGGATGAAAATGAATTTTCTGCAGTAAACACACTGTTACACTGTTAGAAAATTACTCTTGAAATTTCAGGCAAAAAAACTCGAAATTTTTAACAACGCGCAATTCACATTAAATTTATCTCCATTTTGTTACTGAAAAATCAGGTAATCTCTTTGAATATTCAATGAAATTCTAATTTCCCGAGCCATACGACAACGAAAATGATGGAAAATCGCGAAAATTCAGGACATTACTTTCCTGAATTGTCAATCTATTGATAATTCAATTGAATTTAATGTTTACGTTTCATAATGAGGTTTAAAAATCAAGCTGTCCTTGAAATATTAATGATCGCTCACCATGAAAAAAACTGAATTTTATTGACTTTTCGTGATGAATGAGAACTTTCATGAACAATGTAGTTTTAAATTCAATTAAACCTCACAACATTGAGAATTCAGTTGTAATCGTCACTGGAAATTAAACAAATTTCGAACAGTGTTGGAAGAAATTGAAATTTCAAGAGAGGGACATTAAATATTACACAATTTAGAGGAAAAAAATTCTGAAATTTCAGATTACACTGAAAATCTAATGAAATTCCAAATTTTTCAGAGGCAGGAAGAGAGAGGAGAATTCTGTAGTGAAGTGGTAAACTAGGATAAGTGAAATTTTTTTGAAAAATTTTCTATGGCTTGAATCGAAAATTCTCTCAAAGGCGATCAAATTTTTAAACTCTCTTGAAAAAGTTCCATTTTTGCACTTATCCTAATTTACTACTTCGCTACAGAATTTTTCAGCTGACTTGAATTTTCAATCAAAACCTGAATATTCAGTAGTGAATTGAAAACTTGAGAATATTTCTACCTGAAATTTCCTGATTTCTATCAATATTCATGGAATAATTGAAATTAAATTTACTGTTTCCATCGATTTTTCCGCCAACTTTATAATTTTTAATGACGAAATTCCCTGAAATTTCGGTGGAACCATAATGTGATTCAAGTTTTCGAGAAATTTACTGGAAATTTCAGCCAAAATTTTTCAACAGAGACGAACAATTTTTGTGAAATGACCCAGAGAAACAAAAGTTTTCGTTTTTAGGAATCTGTAGTATTCTAAAATTTAACGAGTGAATAACTTTAAAATCGAGTGATTTTCTATTCAATATCACAAATCCTCTGCAAATAAGCCATAAATTTCTAAAAATTTCGGATCAATCCCGGAAAAGTGGAGACATACGTTTAAAAATTATATTTTTTTCTCTGTGAATATGTTAAGTGATTGTCTTTCCAAAATATTCTTAGATATTTTGTTGTTGACGAATTAATTGATTCCTTGAATATTCAGAGAAAATGTAATTTTTGAGTTCATATAAAAATTAGAATGATTAAAGTTGGGAGAATTCAGGTAACTATTTTTTTTAATTTTCAAACCTTATTTTATTATTTGATTCATTCATTCCCCTGTCTCATAGGGGAGGCTCCTTATGATAGACGTTATTATTACTAACGTCTTATTATTCATTATAAAGTAATATTCAAAAAATATTTCTAATAAAAAAACAATTGGGTGCAATAAAAAACAAATTTCATTATAAAAAAAAACAATCGTAAATTTCATTATTTTCATTATTTCATTGTTTCCCAACTTTTCAATTAAACAAGATATCTGCCAGATTCAATATTTTTCGAATCCAGTCTCATTCATTACTAAACAGACGTTATTATTGCTAATATTCACTATATATATTTAAAAAATATTTCTAATAAAACAACAATTGGATGCAGTGAAAAAAAAATTTCCATGATGTTTCCCAACTTTTCAATAAAACAAAATATCTGACAGATTCAATATTTTTCGAATCCAGTCTTATTCATTACTGAACGTCACTGACCTCCGAGGTCTCACCTGACAAATGTCGAGCACCCAAACTAACAGTCATTAATATCCCTCAAATTCCCAGCCCCACCTGAAGAACACCAATTCATTATTCGAAATACAAATGACGCCTTAATACAGGTAGCAGTTTTCGTCGCAGCCGATTAGCCACCCTCCTCCCCTCTCGTTCGCTCATCCGCCTGATTAATTATCCCCCGATAACAGATGATATACTTCAAACGAGTAAGACACCTAGGATAGTAAATGGGGAAAGGTTATCGCTCTTTAAACGAGAGGATACCTCTTACCGATGTGCCCCAGCTGACGCCCAATCCGTTTTATGGTCCTCTCATACTCCAACTTCATCTTCCCCTCGACCCCTCATGCTTCACTTTTCTTTCCCCATTTCCACGTGAATTGTTGCACTCGCAAACACATGACGTTAATATTCATCCAATGCCAGGTAACAACGAGTTTCTAGCGCTGCGGATAGTATAATTACGTTGGTAGCACACAGTTCCTAACGAGGTTAACGGACCTGATTGTTTGAAATTACCATAATAGCATTTAGTGCTGGGAATTCTCGAGTGAATTATTCCTTCGTGTATTCTAAACTTCATAATTTTATTTTTTGTTTGAATCTCCAGCTGAAACTTCGCTCGATGAAAGAAAAAAATCCGGACAATGATCGGTTAAATATAAGTTTCAGTCGTTTAAGGCGTTTCGTGTGTAGATCGTCGGGGGGTGAAACGGAAGGGGAATCTTCTTGTTCTCGAACCCTGATTCAATCGCTGAGCACGAAATTTTCCAATTTTCAAGTAACTGCTTAAGTGTGCATTTGTACATTTTTTGAATATTGATTCTATTTATCAGATTGATTGATTTTTTTCTCATCACCTACGAGTGTCAAATAATTTTTATTGGATGTTTTTCTAATTTTTGAAATAATATTAAAATGCGGCTCGAGTTGGTAAACCTGTCGAGTGTTTTCTCTCTCGCAGTTGCATGGTCCAACCCATACCTTTTTCATGATGCTCACTGACATTCGAATAACGCGCCTGCGCGTGAGGGCGTAATCGCCCCGAAACTCATAATTTTCCGAATCATTTGTTCAAATAACTTTCTTATGAAACCTGAAAAAAATCTGAAACTTATACGTGTTCTCAAGATTTGATTTATCACCCGCTAGTTTTTTCTCAATAGTTCATTTTTTTTTTGGGTGCCATGGAAATGTCCCCAATTGAGAGTGGGGTAACCTCGGAGGTTCTAGCTGGAGGGGTTACAAAAACATCCAAATTGCATTATTTTTTTTTTTGAAACTGAGATCTGAAGAAAATATGCAAAAATTCTCAATGCTGCAGCATACTTAGAAATTTCTCTCATGAATTTTTCATTTTTTTTTTCATTATTTTGACTTTTCAACCGAAACACCTTAAAGTTGTATGAATAAACTTCTGTAGAGTCGAAGAGCGTGACAAGGAAAATGAATTCAAAAAACCGAAAGAAAAATAACTCATCGTTGATAATTTCTCCCATGAATTCTAATTTTCCTCAATGATTTTGTTAAACAATAGTCTCTCGTTTGACTAGGGTGCTTTGATTTGACACGCCATAGATTATTTAGGGGAGGGTGGGGTAAAACGGCCCCCTTCAATTGTCAATAACTTGTGAATGACATTGTGAAAATTCCCAGTTTCAACTTCATTTTGAAGATAATTTTTCATTCTTTAAAACGAGCTCTAACTCATCCCAATCGGATTATTGAATCGGAAAATATTGACGATTGAAGGGGGGCCGTTTTGTCCCATCCTCCCCTATTATAAAAGTTTGACACTGACCATAATTTTTATAATGGGTATAGGAATTTTTTATTTTTTGCTTTGAAATGGAAGCTTTTTAATCGTTCAAATTTAAGTTTTGGATTTCTTGTGTTATATCGACCCAGTATGATCCAAACAGTCCGAAATAGTAGATTATATCATCAGGCGATAAAAGTATTATCTGGCAAATGTGGCTTTATAATCACATTCGCCAAATAATGCTTTTATCGCCGTGTGACATATGATATTTTATATCGTTGAGCCTGAAAACCGCGATCTAACCGAGCAAAGCGAGGTTAGAATCGCGGTTTATCGGGCCTAATGACATAAATGCAATTTTAGACCTCGTCCGTACGTGTGTATGTGTGTACGTGTGTAATAAAGTTTTTCTCCCATTGTTCGCTAATGAATAAATGGACTTGAGAAATGGAATTGAATACATTAAAATCTAATTCATCGATTAGTTTTTTAATTTTGGAATTTTTTCGAAAATCAGTTGTTCCACGATAATTAAAAAAATGTTCTGAAATAATTGAATGATGGCTTAAAAAATTTTGTTGGATATCCTTTTAACCGAGTTCGAAGATGAAGGCGATAGCAATAATCGTTATTTTGATTTATTTGAAGCTTTGCAGTAGAAATGTTGGCTGAATAAATCAATCAACATCAAATCGACATCTCCTAATAAAACAACGGTATTTCAGTTTTCCTTTTAAAACAAGGGTATCTCAACATTCATGTGAAAATCATCTGAAATCTCACGTTTTCCTTCTTCTGATAGGTGTATAAATAGTATGAATGCATCAAAAAGTACAAATAACATGGAGTAGTTCGCATTGGAAGAGAAATGAAGTAATTTGCGAGCTCCGTAAGACTTAGAAATTTATGTGAACAACAAGCTTTCACCTGAATTTTGAGATACCCTTGTTTTAAAAAGAAAATTGTAATACATTTATTTAATTAGGAGATGTCGAAAAATAGTTAAACATACTCAGAATATAGTAACTTGAACATATACTTGAGTTTACTTGAATATATACTAATTAGAACTATTCACAAGAATCTTATATTTGTCAAAATTATTAAGTGAAGTTTTCTGACAAAAATTATTTAATCCTGAAAGATCTTGTTTTCTCTCAATGCAGTAAAAGTGATAATTGGATAAACAAATGGACATTTAATATTAAATATAGTTAAATATACCTTATTTGAATATATGCTAATTAGAAC